ACAATTTGTGCAAGCAAATCCAATGGAGTATCTTTAGATTTCAGTTTAAAAACATTTATGGATTTAAGTTTTTTTAAACTAAACTAAACTTTATGTTGTATTTAATTAATTACAAATTTATGGTTTTGTTTGGTTAATAAAAATACTTGCAACGCAAGCCGTTGGTCAAGACTATGCGGTTGATGGAGTGAGTATACAATTTAATGACTAAAACATTTTGGAGAAGTTATCTGGAGAAAAATAATTATAATAACAGAATCAAATTTATTGTGACTTATACTGATGAAGATAAAACCCACGTAAATGCCGTCAAAAACTGATAAATGTAGTTAAATTTTAAAATGTTAAGAGGCATCATTCGATACTACCAATGAAAACTCGATTATTTATGGAAGATAATGAATTGAAATTTATTGTTTTTAAAATTTTTTATAGTAAAGCTGAGGTATTAATGGTGAAAACTAGTAAATTATGTTGTTACAATAAAAACTTTAAAATTGTGAGTATATAAGAAAAAATAAAAAAAAATATCCCAATAATATTAATATTATTATTGTTTTACCGATAAACATATCATCGATCATATATCAATTATGTTATCGGTTGCTCTTCATTAATCGATTTAATTTCATATTAAAATTGAAGCTTTAGTCTAGCATAATGTTTTGTCAAATCGATTGAAATAGTTTAGTGACATCATTATTATTTCATTATTATTATTTATTATTTCATATGTTGTCTTAATTGCATATGCTGAAGATCAGCGTATGATATTGTTTTTCAGCGTATGAGAATCAGTTATCTGTGAATTCAAAAATACTAGATTTTCTAGACTTTCTTTTACTAGATACTATTTTAAACAATTGTGAATTAATTAAATATTAATTTTATTAAATTATTTGTAATATAATGAGAAAAATGTTTCAGATTATACAAATTACATATTACATAGTAGAGGTGGAGAACTATCGATGGCACTATCGACACTATCGATGGTTTACCATTATCGATCCGCCATTGATAGCAGTGCTAGGCTATTGATAGTCTACTATAGTTTGTCATAGTAACGCTTCCCAAAAAAAAAGCGCACTTTTGGCATCTGTAGTTTGCCACGGCGTAAAGTGAATTTTAAATTCTAATTCTAAAAACATCACGGAGATAAACATTATGATATGTTAAGCCGTTTCCGAGTTAGTGCATCTGGGCACTTTTACTCTAGGATAGCTGGGGGATTCTGCAGAGTCCCGCTCATCTCACTGACTAATTTGAGTATTCCTGATAATCTTCTTGATTATCCAATAATTGATCTAACATCTGCGTACCGCCCCATGCCCCATGCGATTAGTTATTACTCTGAGATTAGATACTATTAAATAATAATGATGAAATATTTCTGTGTACCCGCTACTTCAGTCAAGTCCGAACGCATGTTCAGTAAAGTTGGACAAGTAGTTTTAGAACGCCGGACTCAACTGAAAGAAAAAAACATCAATATGATATTATTCTTAAACAAAAATCTTTAGTTACTAAAATACCAACATTATCGAAAAAAGGAGATGAAATTTATGATTTATTGTATTTATGTAAAAAATTATCTCTAAAAATTAAATGAAATGTGTCATAATAATTAAATTTTAGTTGAAATTTTAAATAAATACATAATTTTTTGAATTGAACAGACATTTATATTGAAATTACGAGGGCGGTTTGATAAGTCAGTGACTTTTTGAATCTCCCGCGCAGTTACTCCAAATGCAACAGTGCTGCCGTCAGTTGTAATCTACCAGTGGGCAACTTTTTAATTTTGAGCAAGCTACGTCGTTTAGTTGATGTTTGATAGCCGTTCAAAGCAGACAACCTCGTGAATTTTTACGAAAATGGAAGAAAGTGAATTTCGTGTGCTGATTAAGCATTCGTGGCCAAAATCTACGAATTGGGATACGAACTGCTACCCCATCCAGCATATTTTCCAGATTTAGCCCCCTGCGACTATTTTCTGTTTCCAAACCTAAAGAAATGACTGGGCGGTAAGAGATTTGAGTCGAATGAAGAAGTCATTACCGAAACAAACGCGTATTTTAGGACTTTTGAGAAAACATATTATTTGGAGGGAATAAGAAAATTAGAAAAACGCTGGACTAAATAAAAAAAGCCACTGACTTATCAAACCGCCCTCGTAACATACAATCGAAAATTATCGATAGTAACCGATTGTTTGGAAAAAAACTATCGCTCACTATTGATGGTGCCGACTATCGATAGTTTTCCACCTCTATTAAATACTACAGATAACCATAAATTTGTTAATAAGAAGTAGTCCTAAAGAAGTAGCAATACCGATGGGGAAGTAGTCCTAAAGAAGTAGCAATACCGATGGGGCAATGCTGGTGTGCTAATTACCAAACAATAATATCCTACAGCTAAATATTTTACATGACATTATGTAAGTGATGTAAGTAGATAAAGTAACTAACTATCAAACACTTTTTGATGATCTTGTGTATGAAAATATAGAGATATATGGAATAGATAAACAAAATTTTTAAAATATTGAGAATGTTTTTCTATTAATCAAATTGAAAAGCACTTGCAGAACAGCATAGATGTCAATTTTATAATAGCTGGATTGAAAATCAGTGGTTAAGCAAATAAAAAGATAGGTGGTGGTTAATCGGTCAGACATGAGAACAAATGACCATCTTTAATGCCAGCAGCTTCTCAATTTATGTCTTATAAAATCTGTTTATACTATTATAATTTCTATTATTTTTATAATTCTCATAAAGTTTAAATTAATAATCTTATAAATAAAAATAGTATCACCTTTAACTGATGAAATTGAAAATTTAATAAAGAAATACTTAAATTGAAGAAGTTTTGGAGTTAATTTTGGATTATTTTGAAATAAAAATAATGCTGGAATAATAATATTGACACAGCATTTTACAAATTTTGCCCTTACCAAAAATAAATTAAACTGAATTTATATTCTCTGAATAATAGAAATCCATATTTATAATAGATTATGCTATGAATTTATAGTTCCTATATTTATATTAATGAGTTGAGTAACGTGAATATATTGCAGCACTGTGAACTGGTTCCCAACTAAGCGGTCATGGAACATATTAGTGCCATTTGATGCCGTTTAATTCTGCGTGAAATTACCATTGCAGACGCTAGATAAATCAGTGCTTAGACCAAGTCAATGGTTCAGAATATCAAACCACTTTAAAAATATATGCGGATTAGATCACTGATATAATGTCGTGGGCTGTTTAAAAGATCATGGATCACATTTTGCATAGTGACGTCAAACAGTTGAAGTCGTAAAAAATAACTGTCCATAATTAAATTATTTCTGTTTCTATCACTAAAAAAAATTTTATAAACTACCTAAGAATTTATTGAGATCTACGTTTAATTTGGAAAAACCATATCAAACACAATTAAAATTAATTAAAAATCGAAATAGA